ATATATACATATATACGTCCACGTCTAATGCTGGAAAACCCGTGACGCGACACATAAACCGAGTTTATACTCACGTCACGAACACGATAACGAAGATTAATGGATGCATGTGGCTAATCAATATCTGAACAGGTAACCATGGCCAGGAGATCAATATCGACTGGCGCCACAAAGAAAGTACCAACCCGTGTGTGTGAATGATACACTCAATACTATCACGAGTGCTCAATCACAGAGAAATAAATTGAAAGGATTGCACAGAACGCCGCGAAGTTAACGATTGGAAAGGGAATGTGATTGCGCAATTGGCCACTTGCACGAAATTAATTGTGGTTGCCCGCTGTGTTGTCCACGTGATCGTGCAGTATCTTGACGGTTTGCTCTCGCGACAATCAGTCCGTGTTCTGCTGCCGTCACGTACAACTAATCAATTAGTGGATAAATCAACAGCGAATCTCTCATTTAAGGCTATATGCTGCTATGAGTGTATATACGATGCGAACATATATAACGATGCAGCAATAGAAAGACATTCGTTGCAGGAGCGTAGCTAACCCATTTTTCCTGGGAGGGGGGGGGGAATGTCATGTGCGTGTTGTGTTCTAGAAAGGTAATCGAATGTAATGTATCTACATTTCTCTGGGGGGGGGGACTTACCCTTGCCCCACTACTAGCTACCGTCTTGCATTAACAGGTAGGATTGGGCACATATCCGCTGGGGATTATTATCACATATTTGGTGCGGCAACACCTGCCTTGAGATGACGTTAAGTTCTTCTAGAATTTCAATTGTATATGGTACAACACGTTGCATATTACACGCGTGATCTTGCCTTCTTTGATATATACGGTGCTGCATATATCTCACAATCACTACTGCGTGATACAATTTCCGCATATCGTCACTATTTTGCTATATTGCTACCTCTGTACCATGTTCTCTATCCATCCCGCCACACATGTCATCCTGAGACAATGTATCGTAGTTCATCTCTGCTACAATTACACTGCGTGGTATAGAGACTCCTTTCCCACTGGCTGTTGGAACAGCTCGGTACATAAACTGCAGATGTATCTCAAAAAGAGCCCGTGTGTGTCGTTCAAGAAACTTACACGCGCAAACGAAATTGATGTTTACGGTACGAACAAGATAGCCACAATTAAAAGATGTATGTTCGATCAATATTTAACCAATTACCGTTACTCGGCCCAATTGATCGTTTCGCTGACATTTCCATGTCCAAAACAAAAACGATGTTTCTCGTCGATTCGCTTCGGTCATGAAACGTTAACATTAAGAAAATATCAGAGTTCGGACATTTCAATCAGAGTGATTGATACAATTTCGCCACTCAATCTCAACCTGACACGCACGGAACATTTCGGCAAACCTATAAGACGTAAACCCAAACGGAATCTATATCGACACGAACTATGATAGAGAGACAATTTACCCTCCCTCCCTTCATGGGCTCTTGCCTATACGCGTTTGCAGCGTCTCCGCAATTGATTATGTATATATGGAAACCTCAGAGACATCAAGGCGAAATGCTGTCAATGAATAGTTCATACCTCGATATGTGAGCTTATCAGGGTGATCTTATTCACCAAAACCTGCACGAAATACGCATTGTGCTTCCACGCGGTTACCCACGCGTATTACCGCGGGTAAAATGTCAAGCGGATTCATACGGATATTGCATTTGGAGACAGGAATCGAGAAATTAGTGGTGCTTGATTAACCGATTCCGTGGAGCGTCAGATGAATATATATATTTATATATATATATATATATATATATATATATCCACTTGTTTGCTAATTAAGATGGCAAACATTCGTGGTGTGTGTTCTAGATTATGTCATCCCTTTACGGCGATAAACCTTGCGTTGCTCATGCCATCAATGTGCTCGTTGCGTATCGCACCTACTATTACCATTACGGCGATACACGCCATGTTTTCTCTAAACACATACATAACCGAATACCCTTCTCCCTGTAATGCCGTGACACGATCATCGATGACGTCATCGCTCTCAGCGAAAACTCTCGTCATTGGATTTTGTCAAATTTCTGTCGTTCGCCACGCGGCAGTCATTCAGAAGAGAATTATTATCCCACGTTCGCTGCTGCTCCGTCGCGCGTAATGAAGCGAGCTGCGGTCGCTGTCACACACGCGCCTGGCTCATTGTGGAACATAGTCACGCGCGCGGTCGCTTGTTAGGCTTGATTGGGAACCGTCGTCTATTAGGCCCCAACTGCTGCTAGCTTTAGCAGGCGAATGCGGCTTTGCGACTAAACGATAGCTGGCCGGCGTGTGTTTGTGTAATCTGGTCATCACCTTTGCACCACCTTTGCATTTTAGATTGCGATATTCGGTTAACAGGTTTAATCTGAACGCGCATGTCGAAGGCGAAATCTCCCGTTTAAAAACCATGTAGAATAGCTTTTAAAGCGAACGAAATGCGCATGCGCGTGTTTGTATGTTAGACCATCTTGTTCTTGTGTTCGTTCGATTTTGTCGATGATAATAATGATGACTCACGTGACTAGATTCATGCCCATGTATAGGCATTGTCTACGGATTCGAAAATGGGTCAGAAAAGTTGCAGAGACAGATGCAGTATTAAATTAGCTAGATGAAATATTTATCTTGTCATTGTCCAAGTGCTGCGACGTGCAACAGTATCGCATGCCGAGCATGAATGAGCAACGAACATCATCAAACTATGAATGACAGCATTAACAACACTACTCATCACGTAAAATCAGTCACGCTATCTCGCTACTAATAAGTATAAAATGTTAATTAAGGTAAACATATGACCCACGCAACCAACCCATGTAGACATAAATGACAGAGGCATGCGAATAATAAACATAATCACGCAAGTAAGAGCATCATTATTCTACACTAATGAATTTTAATGTCAGTCAGTTTCACCACATAACATTGCACCGTTGTTGCGATCGATAGTTTGCTCTAGGAATAAGCGAGAATAGAAAAAAAAGAGTGAATCAAAAATAGACCCTTCTCTGACAACGATCGTACGCACGTGCGCATGTATATATACACGGGTGCACGCACACATATAAACACACACACGTACGTACACATATACACGCACGGACGAACGCGCAATAACACACGCGCGCACTCTCACTTTGCGTTTATTGCATTCGATTTGATATGAGCACCTACCGCCCTCTATCGGATGATGCTGGAACTCAATATGGTAATCTGTATGTTACGCACTGTGTTGCACGCTTATTCTCCTAGGTCCGCCACGCCTTAATGGAGTTATTAAGAAAATTATGCCAAGCCTCCTGATGATAATCAAATGACGTCGAATATTTGAGAGATTACCGCGTAGTAATCATTAGGAAATGCAATAAATCAGTTACTGCGAAAAATGTGCGTAAAAGTCCTTTGCCACATATAAAAATAAATAAATAAATAAATAAATATATATATATATTGGTAGAGAGCCAATCTACAGAACTTATCACATAACATGAAATATTAATACATTTCGTTTGTCCAAATGTGATATAACCAGGTCACGTGGTTACATGTAGAATATTATATTCGCCTCTAGATAGCATAGTGGTCCATCTTATTGATACGTTTTCCGTATATTTTCTATATATATTTATATTTATATTTATTTATATATTTATTTATTTATATAAAGATTTTATCTTGTTATCTTTTCCGCATGTTGACCTATTTTTTTCTATTTTTACATTACTGCACGCTAATAAGACGTTTTTATTGATAGGGTCTTTATATCTGTAATTGGGTTTATACCCGTCAACCCAAACTCGGTCGTAGTGATAATAGTTATACAAGGCACGTTTTACATATTATTAAACAAAAGTGATTGTCAGGCCACTAATAAAAAGTTTTATGATTCTAATCTTTATTATAATATATAAGTAGCATCCTTGCTACACTACTACGAGGAATCAGCGAATCAATTCTATCGCCTATACGCCTGAACGGGACTCAATGACGAACTCTGTAAACCAGGCTCTAACCCACCAAACCCTAACTCTTTGACCTTGGCTCGTAATTCAACCCTAAACCGCTAGGAATAGTCTGATAACCGCGGCGGCGGCGGCGGCGGCAGCAGCAGTAATAGTAGTAACAGCAGAAGCAACAATAGCAACAGCAGAAGCAGCAGCAGCAACAGCTGCA